ACGTAGCCGACAAGGAGGCTCATCGCCGACGCCGTGGCCGACAAAGAGGCCCATCGCTGACATCGTGAGCAGCAGGAGGCCCATCACCGGTATCGTGAACGGTCGCAAGGCCCTCATAGTTGAGGCCGGGGCTGGCAGAAAAGTCTAGCCGTCGGAAACACCGCAAAGACATATCCAACGACAGGCGCGCAGCGTGCCGCCTCCGTGGGAACCGGACGGGTCAGCCCAGGAGCCGGCGTTCAGGATGCCATCGCTGTCGCCGCTATTGTGACCTGTGAAGGACGACATCGCCGCCATTGTGTCCAGCGAAGCGCGTCGTCGCCGCCATTGTAGTCGGGCAAATTACGTGCGCAGTGCGTTAGTTTTTAGCGCGCGTAATCCGGCAAAACAGGAAAGTAGATCCGCGTTTTCTCCGCGAGATTAACGCATGAACATTAATTAACGATTTCTCCATTTTTGATAGATTAGTATTAAGCGATCGACTTTTTATATAGCGTGCGCGTCAACGGTTTATACTTAACTGCCGTTAGGAAATGCTGATTGTTCGCGAGCTTCGATACGGTAGACATACAGTCATGCCTCCTACCTATGAGGAATTGCAGGAGCTGGTGGCGCAGCTGCAAGCGGCGCTTCAGCAGAGCAATGTCGCGCGCGTAGATTCATATAGGGTTCCGAAAATTCCACCGTTTTTAATCAAAGATCCGGCGATATGGTTCATTCAAGTCGAGGCCACATTCAAGGCCGCACGAATCACAGATCAGGAGACTAAGGCGCATCACGTGATTATCTCTTTGGACGCCGAAGCCATCACGTGCTGCAGAGATCTCACCGATGAGAACGAACCATACACCAAATTAAAACAGTGTATTATTGAAAATTTTTCAGCGTCAGCAGAGAGTCAGCTGCGACAACTAATAAAAGGCCAAGTGCTTACGTCAGGGAAACCGTCGCAGATCCTCAGTCGACTTCGCAATTTGAATACTGACAAGCGATGTGACGACGCCATTTTAAAAACTGTATTGTTTGAACACCTATCGCCGCACATTAGAGGCATTCTTGCGATTTTCAAATGCACGGATTTGGACAAGCTAGCCAAAATGGCAGATAAAATAGCTGAGACCGTGGATAAAATAGCTGAGACTCTGCGCAGTATGCCGTCATATCGTTGTCAGAATCGAAGCCGCCCGAATGGAAAGCTGAGATGGACCGTCTGACCGCCGCGGTGGCCCTCGCGGCCAAGGTCGAGCGGTCCGGCAGATCTCAGGCGAAAGACGGGGCAAACAAAAATCGTAAGCGTTCCAAAAGCAGAAGCTCTCGTGTCTGCTGGCCGCATCGTACTTTCGGGGCCCAGGTGCGAGTTTGTAAGGGAACCGACAAATCCCCATGTGATTGGCCAAAGCCCAAGGCTTTAACGGACAGGAAGGCGGGGGAATAGAGTCGTCCGCCACCGAGGAGACAGGTATGGAGGGCGTTGATTCTTCTGTCCGTCTCCACATCCGCGATCGAGTCCGGAGAGCTTCCTTGTGGATACGGGGGCGGAAATTTTGCTGCTTCCCAGCAGATACGCGAAGAACAAAATTCCGAGCAATTTCAAGCTTTACGCGGCAAACAATACGTATAGACGCGTATGGGGAGTCGTTCCGAACGCTACATTTAGGGACGCCTAAATTACGCCCGCTCACATGGAATTTCTGCGTAGTCAATATCAGTTCCGTACCGATTATTGGGGCTGACCTGATTGCACATTACGGTCTCCTTTCGGACCTTAAGGTCAGACTCATCGATTCACAAAACAATGTGTACGTGTCGGGCATTGTCAAATCGGTACCACAGCTTGCCATTAGCACGGTCATAATCCCGGTACGAAATTTGCGGGCATCTTATCTGAATTTCCGGAGGTCACCGGTTTAGAACAGGCAACTCCGAATTGCAGTAGCGATGTTTGTCATTATATCATTATCACGCCGGTAACCGAGCGTCCCAGGTTAAGTCCGGTATAATTAAAAGCAGCAAAGGCTGAATTTCAATAGCTAGTCCAGTAGCCCATGAGCAAGTCTCATTCACATGGTACAGAAAAAAGACGGGTCATGGAAGATCTGCAGCGATTACCGTCGTCTCAACGCGATCACCGTACCGGATAAATTTCCCGTACCACATTTCCTCCAACCTGCGTGGGAAAGTCATTTTCTCTAAGCTAGATCTGCATCAGGCATACAACCAAATTCCAGTGACACCGGAAGATATTCCGAAAACGGCTATCGTTACGCCCTTCGGGCTGTTCGAATATAAATTTATGACATACGGTCTTAGAAACGCGAGTCAAATATTCCAGCGTCAAATCTTCCGCGCATTAGGTGACCTGGAATTTGTGTTTGCATTCATCGACGACATTCTCATAGTGTCGACGTCTCTTGAAGAACACGAAACTCACTTACGCATAGTGTTATAGCGATTAAAAAAGTTTTATTTACGACTCAATGTAGAGAAATGCGATTTCGACAAGCAAGAATTAGAATTCCTCGGCTTTACGATTAATAGCGAAGGTTGTAAACCAACACTTGATAAGGTTCAGGTTATTCGCGAGTTTCCAAGGCCTAATACTATAATTGAATTGCATCGTTTTCTTGGGCTTGTCAACTTTTATCGTAAACTACTGCATAATGCAACTACCGTTCAGACACCACTAAATGAGACCTTCGCGACTCACGCAAAAATGACAAACGGCCAATCATATGGACGCCGGCGGCTGAGGAAGCGTTTAATAAGTGCAAAGAGAGGCCAATGCGATTATACTCTCTCACCCCTCCGACGCAGCCGAGACGCGCCTCGTATGTGACGCGTCAGATTTCGCCATCGGGGCCGCCCTCGAACAATGCCTGGACGACTCGTGGAAACCGCTTGCGTTTTTTTTGTGCAAATTAAGTTCGGCGCAACAGAACTACAGCGCGTACGATCGGGAGCTTACGGCGATCACCGAGGCAGTTAAATACTTTCGTTATTTCCTCGAAGGCCGAAATTTCAAAATTGCGACCGATCACAAGCTTCTCATCTACGCGTTCATGCAACGTTCCGAAAAGGCATCACCCCGGCAACAGAGACAACTGTCGTTCATCTCGCAGTTCACCACGCGTATCGAATACTTATCGGGCAATGATAACATCGTGACGAATTCCCCTTTCCCGTATCGAAGCCATCCATTTACCTGCCGAGATTGAACTAAATGAGCTTGCACAGCAACAAGAACAAGACGAGGAACTACAGTCCATCCGCGAATCTCCTGAATTTCCGCTTACTATGAAGCGAATTCAATGGGGACCGACGCATACTACACTTTATTTTGAAATGACCGGTGAGGCAATCCGCCCCTATATACCAATATCTTTATGAGATCGCGTTAATCCATCAACGGTACGTGTGGCCTAACATGCATCACGACATTACGAAGTGATGCAAAAATTGTCTAGATTGTCAACAGTCAAAAATAATCAGACATTCAACTAAATCCTGAAAAATTTGTCGCGTCCGACGGGCATTTCGAGCATGTTCACATGGATTTAATAGGTCTTTTGCCTGAGTCGTACTGGTACAAATATTGTGTGACGATTATTGATAGATTTGCGTTGGCCAGTAGCAATACCTCTCAAAGACACCGAAGCCATTACAGTGGCACGCGCGTTTTACGACAACTGGGTAGCAAACTTTGGAGCACCCAAAACGATAATGGATCAAGGTAACCTGTTCGAAGTACAATTTTTTACTGCACTTCTTCAGCTGATCGGCAGTCAACGAATTCGTACCACGGCGTATTATCCCGCTTCGAACGGTATGATCGAGCGATGATGTAGAAGCTGTACGGTTATATTCATTCGAGCTCGAGTAATAAAATTCATCATTATTAGTTACAAGAAAAGTGTCGATCATTACACCTCATATTACATCACACGACAAGCGATCTTGTCTTGAGAATTTGTTTCATCAATCGAATCACTTATTCCCATAGGATTCCAGAGCTTTGTTATGCGAAGGAATAGCGTCGACTCTGGGAATTAAAGTGACGAGTTGAGTCTCTGGGTGTAATTGATGCGAGAGGTCCCGATCTTATGGCTGCGAGAGAAAGTGACATGACTTCGGAGACACCAACCTTGTTAATTGCAATAAAGTAAAAATGAGACCCTTTCCTTGGGTCGGAAAACCAAGCAGGGGCATAAGAAGAAGAAGAACCGGAGCTAGAAAAACGGAACTAGTGATATCCGGCTATCCGATTGGGTAGAAAAGTGTCGGATAACACCGGATATTTTCCGGATATCCGATGCATCCCTAGTACAAAGTGTTATTCTTTAACATGATCTTGCGTTAAATTAATACAAAAATTTGACTGGACCGTTTGAGATATGTGATTAACACAAGTTTTTTCTGTGTATTAAAATTATTTTTAAAGAACTGGAAAGGATACGGGCAGTAGGAGTCAAGTGCAAAAGAACGTCGCGCAAATAATATATCTATGAAGTGTAAAACTTCTTTATTCACTAAAATGCGCTTACATGGCTCATTTTTGAGCTTTCCTCAGAGACAACATAACTCCCCTACATCTTAGGAGAAAATGTCGGAATTAAAACCAATTATTTTTCTCGATTTGATGATAAATCAAGTAAAATTATTAAAATAATTAAAAAACGTTTAAATATATAGGTTTGAAATTATCATTATCTTAATGATATTATGGATACATTTAAATTTATTGATAAATTATCGATAACTTATCGATAATCGACAATAATATCTCTAAACTCAATACTAGGATTGAAATATCTGAATCTAACTTTTTAATATGTATTACACATGAAAATAACTAATGTTGGCTCACATTGGCATTTCCTTACATATTTATGAGTTTATCTAAGAAGCCTTATATTGTAACTCAAATTTTATATTAAATATATTTTATTAAAGATTTAACGGACTCGCTTGACTTCTTGCTTCTTATTCTTTTTCTTTTTCAGTCCAAAGGATTTCGGTCTTAAACGATGTTCAGTCCAGGCATCTAAAAAGAGAGGATCTCACAGGCCAAAAGGTCCATTCAGCAAATTAAAAAATCAAGTTGGAGTATTAACGTCTACTGGAAAAGTCTACTGTAGAATCCAAGCCTAAACAAAGGAAGATTCCGAACCAAAATTCAACAGGAAAACGGAGACAAGGATATCACGGTATATTCAGACAGGATGCAAATATGTTCGCGAACTAAAATAAAGACAGCTCGGAATCAGATTTTTTCCTATCACAGAGGAGTCAGTGATTTAGACACAGAAGTCTATGGTCAGGAGCCTTAATTCATTTTTTTTCTAATAAATTGCAAATAAAATTTTGTCTTAACATCTTATATGTTTCTTTATTATTTTCTTATCTCTATGCTCCATTTGTATTTTAATAGCAAATGCACAGATGTTAATACATAGCAAATAAAAATGTTATGCATATAATCATGTCCAGACATATTTGTTCAAAATTACTAATTATTTTCATTCTACAAATGAGGAGCAGACTTTCAAAATGCATTTTGTTTTAAAATTTGTAATTTTCAGAAAATGGGAAAGAAAGAAACTATGCACTTTATAAAATATAACAATAAATCAATTAATAGAATGTAAAATATTAAACAAAATTACTTAACAGTTATTAAAAATATTAAACAAATGCATTTTGTTCGTTTTTAGTTAAAAAATATAATACACTTATAATGTTTTTTCAGAATATAAATTAACGATGAAAAAAAATCCTTTCTGCACATCTCAGAGTAACTTATAATATAAGTCATTCAACACTGAACACTACACCATCTTTAACTAAAAAAATGAAATTCTGAACAAAATGCATTTTAAAAGTCTGCTCTTCAAATGTGTACAGTAGAAGTCAGTATTAAAAATAAAAAGACAAATCTCTTTCGACGGAATTTTTGCATATATTTATGAATTATGTAATTAATTTCATACTATATTGACGAACTTATTACAGAGACTTATTTCCTGGTATCTATAAACTTTACAGAGATTAATTTTCTAACTTTTACAGAGACTTATTTCCTGGTATCTGTAAACTTATCAATGGATTTGAAGCGCGTGCTAGATATCTTGATTTAGCAGTCGTTGCTCCTGACATAGAATCTCTATCAAATTTTCTTTTTCTTCTTCCTATTCCTATGACTTTCTTCAAAGTGGGTGGTACTATATATTCAGGCACATCTTTTAAATGTGGTTGAAGTTTCACAGTATGCAACGTCTTGTCTTGCCGTAATGATTTCAAGTCTCGTGGATTATCCTCAAAATAACTTTTTAGCTTTTCACAATTTATAACTTCTTGTTTAATTTCTTTCAATCGCGCTTCTCGAACAGCAATCCTTGTAACGGCTTTCCAAGCATCTTTCGCACGATATCTAAAATTATCATAATTTCATAAAATAAAACAGATCAGCGTCAAAAATAATTCTAAAAAATTTAAATAAATTAAAAAATAAAGTTTGTTTGAAAAAAGTATGCTCCTCTCTCTCTCCTCCCTCTCTCTCCTCTTTTACAAAAAAAAATCTTTAATATGTTGCAAGAACGAAATCAAGAAAAATCAGATTATACATACCGAAAGCCTTCCATTTCTTCCAATTTAAACTGATAAATTTTAAATAGATTCTCACAATTGTAAGTGTGCTTTAATTCAAGTTCTACTTCTTCCATTAATGACTTTTCCTTAACAGCTACGAAGCTAAGAACGGTTCCCTGGTTCTTTCCACGAGCAGTACGTCCTGCTCTGTGTACGTAAGAATTTAAATTCAATGGGAAGTCAAAGTTGATTACATTGGATACGAATTGAAAATCAATGCCACGTGCTACACCAGATTCCTTGTCTTTTTTTCGTTTGCTTTTTTTCATTTTTATCACATGCGACTGTAAAAAATAAATATATTTAAAAAATGATACAAATAAAATATACTTCATTATAACATACATGGAGAGAAATAAAAAAAAATCATTTTTAATAAATAAATTGAGTTTTAACATAATAATAATAATTATTATTATAATTATAATAAGAATTTGTAAACAGTGAATGTGAGGCAATATGTTTCAAAGTCCTACAGCCCTATAGAAGCCTTGTATGAATTACGGCTAATATCCCTAAGTTCGAATGTTTTATGTCTCCGGGCAAGGTCTAGGGGCTGTCGCACACAAAATTCCACAGTAACTGTAAGACATAAACTTATGCCGATGAGCCAATCAGGATATTGCTTTAAGTCTACGCAATCTAACGGAAATGGAAATAACAGTAAACTTATCCACAACTAATAATAAGGCGAATTTCAACCTTTCAAAGGTTGAAACTCGCTTTATGGATAAGTTTATTATTATTTCTATTTCCGTCAGATTATGTAGATCTAAAACAGTATCCTGATTGATTCAGTTTAAGTTTATGTCTTATGGTTATTGTTACAGAAATTTTGTCTGCGGTAGTCCTAAGTGCTATGAAACAAAACGAATGGGGATGACGTTAAGTAAAATTAGTCAAAATGTGCTACTCGGCTCTAAGCCGAGGGGTTAAGAATTAGAGCATCGGCAATCGGTGTGTGTGTGTGTGTGTGTGTGTGTTGCGTGCGTGCGCGCGCGTGCGTGTCTGTGTGTGCGTACGTACGTGTGTGCGCGCGTGCGTGCGTGCGTATTTCACATATCAGATTTTTTGTGTGAAATTCCACACATGAAAAATTGTTCATAAGCAATTTGACAATAATAAATGTTAAACTAAAAATAAATTAAATTTTTTTATTTTAATCAAAATTTCACACACTGAACGAATCAAATGCAGCTAATAAAATATTTACGCAGTTCATATTTTTCTCCGCGAAGAGCGCTAGTCTATAGTTTTTCGTGCATATCTTAGCGACATCTTTATTTGTTTGGGAATATATAGGAATTCATATTCGTATATTCAATAATATTCAAGCTATATTGCATGTGCACTCCGAGAAACTTAAATATTAACGCACTTATGGATGAATTCATTAAAAAAAATATAATTCAAAGTTCAACGTTTACTCTACGAGATTAAATTTATTAAATTTTTTCATTAAATTTTGTTTTATGAATTTAAGTATGTTTCAAGTCAAACTATGAATATTTATAAAATATTTATAATTTCGTTGTTCATCATTTTGTACGATTATAAAGAGATTTTAATAAGGAGATTAAATAAGTTCTGGAAATTTTTTACTCCCCGCCCCCCCTCCTCTCCTCCCGATCAAGTTGTCCAACTCCACACATGGCAAATCAACAAGTCGCCGGCCATGAAAGTGACGTCCTGCCCCGTAAACCAAGATATTAATCGTTGAAGTTAACGACTATTCAGGTTAAGAAGTCAGTCACATCGATGACATAGAGACATGAGAATATGTAAGTGAGACTAGAATAAATATTTTCTGCTTTAATTTCATCAAAATCGGTGAAGAAGGTAGAATTCTTGAATATTACCCTTACTTTTATATCTTATTTTACTTTTTTCAGTGATATAAATATCAAGATGCGCGCGCAGAGAAGGATAGATTGTCCCGATATTTTGCCTCTCGTTCTGCCAAATCCAGCATATACTATAGAAAAATAGATGAATGCTGAGTCTATCTTATACAGGGTGGGCCATCTATTGGTACGTTTTTAAAAATGCGATCAAATGAGCATACATTGATATTTTTTATTAATTTTTTTTTTGTTGTGAAGCTAAAAGTATCCGCGTCAAGAATGAAAAACGATTTCGTTCATGTGGCTCCCTCTACTGGCCTTACAGTATGCCATTCGGTCACCCCAATTATTAATGACATTTTGGACTACCTCGGCGCCAATTTCACTCAAAACAGTCGTAATATAATGTCATCCACTAACATCCCTTTCTCACGAACTTTCCTCACCAATTTGCGTATAGCTCCTTCGGTGGGTGCTCTATCACGACCCATATTTCTTTTCAAAATTCGTACAGTTTCGGCGACACAGCACTGACTTTGAAAATAAGTTTTTAAAATTTCAAAACGCTCTTCAAGAGAAAACATGTTGTTTCGTGCCGCGGACGGTATGACTAATAAACTGTCAAAATTTCGGGTCTGTTGCTCGTTCGGTGTTGCCATACGACGAAATTCAAAAACGTACCAATAGATGGCCCACCCTGTATGTCTATGGTATGTGCATACATGTGTACGTGCATATGTGGAGGAGGGGAAAAGTTATACTTTACGATCGACTGTTTGGGATACTTTATTGAGAAGCAAGGGGGATTCGCGTGAAATACCCCAAAGAGTTGAAATTTCTATTACGTCATTCATCTTGGGTGATGCTAAGCACAGGAAAATGCATGTCACCTGGAAATGATTGATCATCAAATATAATCAGTCTTGGTAATGAATAAAAACAAGAATAGGATACATGTATGTTTTTGACTTCCCTTCCTCTTCCCCATGCACGTACGCACATATGCACATACACACAATGAAAATTCCTCTGTTTGTGGTCTCGGATTTCTTTTTGCTCGAATTCTTGTAACAGTCATTGTACAAATAAACATAGAAATATTAAATCAATATCAAATTTAATTTCAAACATATTATTCAAGAAACTTAAATTATATTCTTGAGGCTTCCACAGGTGTTTTCTATATAAAGATTATGTGTTTCGCGAGTTTTCTCCGTGTCCCGATCCATTCTTGGAATGCTAACGTTTCGTGAATCTTGCAGTCCACTTCATCAGGGCGAGGAAGTCATACTAACACGTAATAGACGTTGTATTGAATCCATGGAGTTGACACAGCTCTAGTGGCGTAATAGCACCACCAACCTTATTCCGACGACACAATTTTAATTAATATTGTAATGTATATAATATTAGGTGTAGTAAAAAGAAATCCATTATTTTTCCAATAGATGGCTTTAATAATCTGTATCACGCGTAGACGAGGTATTACTAAAACCATCTATTGGAAAAATAATGGATTTCTTTTTACTACACCTAATACAGGGTGGGGAAACTGTACGAATTTTGAAAAGAAATATGGGTCGTGATAGAGCACCCACCGAAGGAGCTATACGCAAATTGGTGAGGAAAGTTCGTGAGAAAGGGATGTTAGTGGATGACATTATATTACGACTGTTTTGAGTGAAATTGGCGCCGAGGTAGTCCAAAATGTCATTAATAATTGGGGTGACCGAATGGCATACTGTAAGGCCAGTAGAGGGAGCCACATGAACGAAATCGTTTTTCATTCTTGACGCGGATACTTTTAGCTTCACAACAAAAAAAAAATTAATAAAAAATATCAATGTATGCTCATTTGATCGCATTTTTAAAAACGTACCAATAGATGGCCCACCCTGTAAAATTTCAAAACGCTCTTCAAGAGAAAACATGTTGTTTCGTGCCGCGGACGGTATGACTAATAAACTGTCAAAATTTCGGGTCTGTAGCTCGTTCGGTGTTGCCATACGACGAAATTCAAAAACGTACCAATAGATGGCCCACCCTGTAATATTGTAATGTATTAATATTGTAAAATATATTAAATTAATAAAATAGTTTTTTTTGGTATTCAACTTATACATAAAAAATGTAAACAAATAATTCAGACAATATAAAATTAGAAAAAAATAATTAGTCAATTTCTTATAATACATAAAGGAAAATTACAAATCAAACATAAAGAAAAGAATATACCATATGTTTCATATTGTTATTTTATTATTAGATACGTGTAACTGGTGTAAATTATAATTTGTATATTTTTTTTCTCTCCCGTTGAACTTGCAATCTGCCCGAGAGCAATAATCAAGTATTATGTATGTCTTTAGTACTGGCGGGATTTAGGAGTTCCTATGAAAATTCTAACATATTAAAATTTTAAATCTGATCTAAGTTTGCTTTAATCTTATATTTTCTAATTCTGTTCTATTTCTTTGAATGTAAGAATCAGATTCATTGAAGTTGTACGCTTCAATCTCTTGACATGAATGTAGTTGTTCAATAATCCCGTTATCAAAGCGTTTGGGTGGTTTCAAACCAATCATCAGTTCGCCAATCGGTCCGCATAATTTATACTGGTGTATCTCATTTCTCTTTGGATTGTTTCTATATTTAAATCATGGTACAGCATATTATTTGAGATATATTAAAGGGTATTTGTGATTCTCAATAACTTTGATTGGAACCTCTGTAATATTCAATATTTATTAGCCGTACACAATTGAATTTCATAACTTCATATCGGCTTTAATATCAAATACAGTAAGCTTAGTCTCAAGTGAGAGTGAAGATTTCCTTTCGATTAATTAAGGAGAGCTTAGATAATTTAAGTCCTAGTTGTTTTCTCTTCTCAAATATATGTTTTTGTCATGTAAGTCTTTATCCATGCCTAGATATCTATTTGCTTCAGACAAAGTTAGATCATTGAACTTAATCAGGGAGCAATTTCCATGTCGTAAGGCGAAGGAATATGTATTAATTTAATTTCATTAACTTTGATTTTCCATTTTCTCAACTAAGTTTGAAGGTTGTTTAAGTTTTTGAAGGTGTTTCAAAGCTTTTTCTGCATCTCCATTCATTACCAGGATGGCTGTATCATCCACAAAAATTGCTGACAGTATTATCTGATGTTGAGATATCCGAAATAGATTTGATAAAGTACTGGCCCAAGGACATTATCCTGAGGCACTCTAGCTAGTATTGGATAAGGTTTTGTTATGTCGTTTTGGAACTTGACTATGAAATACGAGATCTGTTCAAAAACTATTGCGAATTTTGTGTTTTTTCAAAAATTATTTATTTATTCATGAATATCTATTTTGTCCCCTTCAAAGTAATCCCCATCAGATATTATACACTTATGCCAACGTTTTTTCCAATCCTCGAAGCACTTCAAAAAATCATTTTTTGTGATCTTGTTCAGCTCCTCCTTCGATGCCGTCTTTATCTCCTCAATCGTAGCATAGCATCGTCCTTTCATGGGCCTCTTCAGTTTCGGGAACAAGAAAAAGTCACAGGGGGCCAGATCTGGGGAATACGGTGGCTGCGGCATCATTAGTGTGTTATTTTTGGCCAAAAATTCGCGCACAAGCAACGATGTGTGAGCAGGGGCGTTATTATGCAAAAGCCAATTTTTGTTCTTCCACAAATCCGGGCGTTTCTGGCGGATTGCTTTGCGCAAATTGCGCATAACTTGCAGGTAATATTCCTTATTGACCGTTCTACTCTGTGGCAAGAACTCATGATGCACCACGCCCTTGTAATCGAAGAAAACTGTAAGCAAAACCTTCACATTCGACCGAACTTGGCGCGCTTTTTTCGATCTTGGCTCGTGCGGCAGCTTCCATTGGGATGATTGAGCTTTGGTTTCCACGTCATAACCATAAACCCATGATTCGTCACCAGTTATGACCCTCTGAAGCACATTTGTTTTTCACACAAAATTTGATACAGATTCTTTGATCCATTTTTTGGAATAGGCAAAAATCGAAGACGAGTCAAAACACGTGCAAGCAAAGCAGCTGTCAAAAATTAACTGAACATTCAAAATGGCCGAACTTGTCGGCATAAGTGAGAGACATGAGTACCAATATAACGCCACAAAAAAATCCAAAATCGAATATACGTAACCCGCGGAAATTCAAAATTCGCGATACTTTTTGAACAGCCCTCGTATGTCAGTTAAGTATAATTTTAGTATTTGATAGCGCAGATATGATAGGATTAATTTTAACTTAAGAACAAGCTCATATCATACTCTATTGAACGCTTGTAACACAAAAAGACAGTATTTTTTCTCCTAAATGCAAGGTTATGCTGTCAACCAATTTGTGGGTTTGTTCAATGGAATGGTTCTGGCGAAAGCCAAACTGGTGATCTGATGACTTATGCCTACTACTTCTAATGGGAAAAATATTCGAGAAAAGCTGTTCTTGATCAGGTTCATACTTGTTCTCGAAGAATTACATACAATACCAGATCATCAGTTTAGCTCCATATTTCCACTATCAAATACTAAAATCATACTTAACTGACAGATATTTCGTAGTTTCAAGTTTCAAAACGAAGTAATAAAACCTTATCCAATACTAGAGTGCCTCAGGATAATGTCCTTGGGCCAGTACTTCATTAAATCTACACTTCGGATATCTCAACATCAGATAATACTGTCAGCAACTTATACGGACGCTACAGCCATCCTCGTAGTGAATGGAGATGCAGAAAAAGCTTCGGAACACCTTCAAGTTAAGTTTGCTGTATACAAGTCGATATTAAAGCTTATATGGAGTTATGAAATTCAACTGTGGAGCTAATAAATATTGAATATTACAGAGGTTCCAATCAAAGTTGTCAAGATTGTCATAAATGCTAATATATAATATTTCAAATGATACGCTGCTCGATTTAAATATAGAAACAATCCAAAGAGAAATTAGATGCACCAATATAAATTATGTGGACCGACTGGCGAACCACCCAAACGCTTTGGTAACGACTACTGAACAACCCCATTTATGTCAAGAGATTGAAGCGTACAACTTCAATGGATCTGATTCTTACAGCCAAAGAAATAGAATTAGAAAATATAAGATTAAAGTTTTAAAAAATATAAGATTAAAATTTTAATGCGTTAGGATTTTTAAAAACTTTTAAATCCCGCCATTATTACAGACATACACAACACTTAATTATTGCTCTCGAGCAGATTGCAAGTTCAACGGGAGAAAATATACAAATTATAATTTATACCAGTTACGTATCTAATAATAAAATAACAATATGAAGCATAATATATTCTTTTCTTTATGTTTGATTTGTAATTTTCTTTTCATGTAAAAAATTGACTAATTATTTTTTCTAATTTTATATTATGTGAATCATTTGTTTACATTTTTTATGTATAAATACCAAAAAAAAAACTATTTCATTAAGTTAATATATTTATACATTATTACAATATTAATTAAAATTGTGTTGTCAAAATAAGGTAGCTCTATTACGCTAGAGCTGTATCAACTCCACGATATATCAATAAAACGCCTATTATGTGTTGGTATGACTTAATCACTATTGAAGAGGAGGCAACGCCAAAATGATGTAGGCACAGATCTTGTGATCAGGAAATTGTGAAAATTACCGTATCGCTACCAATGTGGAGCTGTGACAACTCTACAAGTCCTACTGAATTCGACATAACTGCCAGTATGCAGGGGCTCAAGTCACGTTGGAATCGTCGCAAATGCAAATTTTTTTTCGTATAGAAGATCGTGAAGAATCTTTATATTTATAAATAAATAAAAATAAATTGAAGTGCATAGTTGCTACAAGATTTTACATATTTAAACAAAAAGTAAATGTATACTTTAGATTACATTTCATCGATTTAAGTGTCCTTTAAATATATTGTAGAGGAGAGTATCCTAAGTGATTCTCCGCAAGAATTAAGTGGGGGACGGCATTGGTTTAGGAGACACAATAAAAGTTAAAATTATTCCATAATATTATATGTAAAGGATAATATTAATATAGGAAGTATATTATTATATTGGGTCATCTAAAAAGTATCCGCGGTTTTTTGTCACTAGATGTGTTGACCATCAACACCATCTAGTGACAAAAAACCG